AAACCAAAAAGAAAAAAAAACGCATTTTCTCGTTTTTTTTACTCGTTTTTTGGGCATATTTTTGTTAAAAATATTTCTCATTTCGATTGGAAATTCAATTTGCTACAATTTTTCTGTTGACTATTTAGAAAAAATTCATAGTTTTCGAGTAAAACTCAAAAAACTGAAAATACCACCTTTTTACTTCGTTCTCAAAAACGCACCCCTTTAAAAGGTAGCACTCCGCGGTTTTATCATTTTTTAGAGTCAATTGAACATATCAAATAATAAAATTTATGTTACGTTGTAGTTCCTTTGTACCCTCTTTTTTTTGACATAGTCAATAGCCTATTGGTCGACACTGAAAACCACCTCTTGTCCACAAAATTCAAAATACTTTTCACAATTAAATACGTCACCCACGCACGTGGTAGCACAACTGGAAGAAAACTTTGAAGGACACCTCATATGCCTAATCATTCATATTAATGTATAATAATAGTGTAATAAATAAATCAAATTTGGAAAAAGTTTGTAATGGAAATTATTCCTTGAACTCAACCCCTTTATCAAAATGTTCTGATGTAATTTTTTTGTAAAATGACCAGAAAAAAGTTATAACGACCAAAAGAAAATTCGTTCCCAAATCTAATTTCGTTAATAACTTTGTTACTTTTGGTTCTACGACTAAAAGTTACGGAACCAAATTTGTAGAGAATTTAATTTGCAACAAAAAATATATTACAAATTTTCTGTGCGACGAATAGTTTGTCCGGTATAGTAAGTAGTAGTATAAAAACCATTCGCAGTCCTTTTTACAAGATGGCGGCCGATACACAAGGGTTGCGACCCCACAAACATGGATTTAACTTTACACTAACCCCTTCTTGACATCCAAAAAATAAAATTGCGTGCTCTGACTTTTGCAACCCCAAATTTAACTTTTCAATGGACTAACAAGTGGCAAAAATGTTTGATATAATCTAAGCACCCAGACATGCACCGCAGGCGAGGGAACGTCGCCGTCGGGCCAACGAAAACAAGCAGACACTCAAAGCCCTTCATAAATTGTCATGATATATTATGTATACAGATATATAGGCTTGGGGAAGTTTTTGAGACATCAGAATTTAACTAGCCAACGAAGTATACTAGTCAACTAAAATAAAGTCGTAATAGTATTAATGAAAGTGTTAGTGTGGCAAATTTGAATAAAATCTTGCACGGCATTTCAAAGTTGTTTGGAAAAAACAATTTTGTCAACTTTGATTGCCCTTTTGCCCTTTAAAAGAAGCAACTTATTAGGAGGTAAGTTTAGCTAAATGTAGCTCCATATACCTACACGCAACATTGAGACGCCTTGTATAAACATCTTTCTTGTTTATAGATGTAAAATCTCACATACTTTAAAATCTGCTCGTAGACTTGTGTAATAAGTTCCGCCAACACCCTGACCAATTGTGAAAAACAAAAATATCGTATTTACTTGTTGTTTATGTCCGAATTCTAGGAAATTACATAAAATCCCGGTAAATATATCTTTAAAGTGTAAAGTCCTTTTGAGGCAAATCAAGATAACCCTCGTGTCGTGTTATTCAACGTCTAAAGTCCTACCACCCCGTAACGGATTCCGTGTAGATATAAATATTTATATTGTTGCGTCTGATAATCCAGACTTGTCTGCCTCGAGCAAATATTTTAATAATAATTAACGAGCATCCTTGTTGAGATAAAGAAAATCTGGAGTGCTTAGGTCTTTGTAATGTATAAACCTCTTTTGTTACAGAAAATTAAGTGCTTTGAGTAATACTAGCAAAAAAATCAAGTGTGCGAAGTGATTTGCCCACATGGATAACTTAATAATATACAGGGCGTTCGTTACAAGACGTTCTTTGGCTAATTCTAACTTTTTATGAAATCTTAACTTTAATTATTATTATTAAATTATTATAAACTTTCAAGGTGATGATGATTCGGATGGTGAAGGTAATATTTTTAATACTGATACTAAATACAGTAAAAGTGAAGAAAGAATTTTATTTGTTCTTATGAATTCTATTTATCTACAATAAAATTAGGATTACCACGTTTCAAAATATTGCACCAATCTGTAATTTTTTTATTGTAATTATATTACCTGTCAATAAATAAATTTTATTGCCCATGGTCATTAAATAGGATCAACTGCAGATAATCTACTTTGAAATACGCATAAACAGGGACAAGTACAGGTAATTTTATTATATATTTAATTGTACAATATAAAACCTTCATTAAATAACTACATTTACCAGACCTAAGTAAAATTTTTACACAGAACGTACCTGCTCTACTATTAAGATCTCCTGTCTTTGTCACTCATAGTGCGGACTATCTTCTGAAGACGAGTTTGAGTAGGCTGAAGCCTTCCAACTATCTGTGCTATAAACAGTGTGTCTCGTGTTTCAGGTTAACACCTCTGAAAATGTGAGAAGGCTGTGGACTTTCCGCAAGCCAATTTTTTTGCAAATAGTATCCTGAAGGAAGGTTATATTTTAGTAATGATTTTATTGATGGGGCAAAAGCCTGACCTACTATTTTTTAAAAGGGTCATTTTTCTAGAAAGTGGTATTAGGCGTTTTTTTATCAAAAAGATAATATTACCAACCAACACCCATCGAAATACCTATATATACCAAATTTTATCCACAAATGTCTATTGAGCTAACAATCAGACAACCAAAAATTATAGGTCAAAGATTGCTATGAAAGTGAAAACAAGTACCAATCGGACAAAGAAATTACTCCACAGCAGCTATGTAAAGTATTTTTAAATTTAAGAAGACGATTGGAGAAATGTGTTCGATTCGAAGGAGGTTTGACAGAGAAAACTAAAATTCAGTTTAGATTGTTTTACAATTTTGGTATGTATAATTAATTACATTTTTAGTAAGTACGTTAATTATTATTATTTTTACTGTGGCCGCAATTAAGTGTTAAATTTATGGTGTCTGTATTTTTTCTTTGTCCGATTGGTACTTGTTTTCACTTTTATGGCAATCTTTGACCTGCTTACTATAATTTTTAGTTGCCTGATTTTTCGAAGTTTGGCACCCCATAAAAAAACACTCAGTAGACATTTGTCAATCAAATTTGGTATTTGGGTATTTTGGTGGGTGTTGAATAGCCTGGTAATATTAACTTTTTGATATAAAAATGCCTGTTGAAATTATTGCATTTATCTTACCCACTTGAAGGATTTTAAAATAAACTTAGGCTAATTGACTTTCTGTTTAGTAGAAATTATCATTAAACAACGCAAACGTTTCTCCTCTCAAGGTTATGTTCCTTACCGATAATTTTATTATAAACACGGGTATATTTAGCAACGTGTTACTTAACTTCAAGACAAATACTGGAATTGAAAAAAATAGCTTATTAATAAGCTTTGAAAATATTTTTCTCCCCGTTATGAAGCCAGTAAAATCAATTTTTTTGCGCTAATGCGTAAAGTAAATGAATTTTGTGCATTAGAACGAAAAGTATAATATTTTTGTTACGTCACGGTGTTTATTATTTATTTCTTTGAAGTAAGCTTATAATCTTAAAAACATCTTTCAAAAACGTGTCTCGCTGTTTCTTTGACACCCTGTATATAACATTTTAAAAACGGAATTCTCAACGCTTTCTTAATATATGAACCGCTTTTAACTGAAATTTAAGAAACTGTCCCATAGAATAATAATATGGGGTGATTACAAGCTTGGAAAGGATATTTTAAAGGTTAGAATGCAATAAAAATAAACATTTTCAATAACCAAAAGGATTAAAACTGCAAAACGGCGGTTAAAACTAATGATATTCAAAATTGTGAATACTTATTGAGAATCTCTGGAATATTTCCGGAGTTACATACTACATAAAAAGTGTTGCATAACTCTGTTAGAATAGAAAAATTGCTAGAGTAATTTATATGCAGCAACTTATTTATACACAGAACCAGTTGAGCCATGAATGGAGACAGTGGTCCCAAAAATGTTTCTTCATATTATTGTGGCAAGTCAGTAGACAGTAAAGTTATTTTATTCGATAGAAATCTCGAGTTTTCGTATTTTGATTACTCTTCAAATATCCTCTTCAAGTTTGATATCTCGAGAAGTAATAGAGGAAATTTAACTTTTTTTTAAAAAAAAAGAAGCGTCTTTCCGAGTACCTTAAAATTATAATTTTTGAAAAAACTAAATTGCAAATTGATAAATGTAGGTAATCTAATTGTTTAAAAATAAAAAAAGAGTGTTAACTTTAAAAATTTACTATGGCCGTCGTAATCAACAGATTTCAATTTTTCAAAAACCATTTGAAAGGTTAAGCGGTCTTTTCTATGTGAAAAAATTTTCAAGTATCTGATGCTTTATTTGAGGCTGTGCAACATTTTGAAAATTCGAAAAAATTTTTTTTTAATTTTCTTCAAAGAATTATTTTGCGAAAACTATTGAACCGATTTTAATTAAATTTGGTGTGTTGTTTTACTATACTCTAATGTTTTTTTACCAAAATTAGAATGCCCTCGGAGCAATTAAAATATTTAAAAAAAAATATCCAAAAAACTTCATTACTTTGCCTTTTTTCATCAATTATTTCTATTTTGCAACATCGGTAATAAATTTAAACATTTTTAACTTGCAGTATATTGTGCAAAATTCAATTCTAAAACTTGTTTTCCTCTTCAATATTCTTCCAAAATGCATAGGTTCCAAGATATAAGCAAAAAAACTCAGATAAAATAGGTATTTTTTAAAATGTTTTAAACATTTTTGCAATTTTGAAAATGTTCCGCACCTCGCTCAGATCTAGGGATCTACACTTTTATTATGTGAGTTGTATTGAAGGTAATCCAGAAAAAATTTACTTGCCCCCTCTCACATCCACCTCAAAACAGATCCACCCTGGTCTAAGAAGGTTCAAATCAAATAACAAATTACATGAACGTAGAAAAATATTTATTCAGTCTTTTTCATAAGAAGAGAAGTCACAAAAGAAACTTATAAAACGTCACAACTTCGCTCGATCCCAACGAATTTTAGCTGCTCTGTTGGCCCATATCTGAAACAAAAAATAGGTTGTTAGTTTCACGATTCGCAAGACAAACGATGAAATAGATGATAAATTGTGCGTAAAACATACAAAATTCAATAAGGGTCAAATATATTTCGAAGAAACAGAATATTTAATACACATGTGATATAATTTCAAAGTGCAAGACACAGAATACCTAACCCGCCTAAGTTGGCGGGAAAATTATTACATAACCTCAATTACCTCAATATTAGAATAGAATCTGTCAATTCCTTCGTGTCTAAATGAAACAATAAAAAATTAATTAAAAAAAATGTAGTTCTACACCAAAAACATGGCGTTCAATCTTCGAGAGAGATCAAAGGCACCGACATTGAGTTGTATTCTGACTGTTTGGTATTCTGTGGTGCGAAGTAAGAGAACATAAACTTTGTTTCGGTATTATCTTCTTTTTTGCTTGATACAAAGATGAAGGGTTAACATTTCTCTTTAAAAATGTTCAATAATGTAATGGATGATCGAGAAGTTTTATTTTTAGCGCATCTTCTGCTTAACTCAAAATGGATTCCTGGTATAAAAAAAAATAGTATCAATCTAAACTAATTCTACGTCACCGTCTAACCAGTTCTAAGTAGATTCACAACATGATAATTTGACACAAAGTCAAAAATATTAACGTTAATTTGTATGAATAAGTTTAAGTATATTTAAGTTACGTGCCCAACTTATTAAAACAATAGCAGGCGTTCTATAACTAAATAAAACAAATTTATGTGAGTGTAGATAAGAAAGGTTTGTAATAATAACGTATTAATCAAGAACAAACACGATTTTCCATTATTTGAACTAGCAACAGGAAATATACCTACCTAAGTTTTCAAAATATGAAAAAAAATGTAGTAGATATTTTTCTTTATCACAATCAGTGATTTTGCACTATAATTTTTAAATTTCCCGCCAAACCAAGATCAAGTAACATGATAAAACAGATGTTTACGTGTATGACGTCACTAATTGAAATAATAGGAAAGTCACTAAATGTCTTTTTTGGAATAAAAAATAGGATGTTTCAATTAATAATATCAAGTTGACCTTGGTTTGACCTTCAAACTTAAGGTCAAAGTCAAAACCAAGGTCATCAGCGTATTGGTTTCGTGATATCCTACGACTTTCATCTGAATCTTTTTTGATAGGACTCAATTCTGAAAAGTTATTGGATTGGGTCTTTTTGGGACATTTCTTACCTGTAGTCAAAGAAAATTTCTTCCCCAGGTTCGATGGACCTCTTGGCATAGATCCCAATCCTGTGATCCCCATTTACCATCACCACCTTCGCGTAGCAATTGGGATTGACGGAGTGATTGGCGAATCGAATCTTGTTACCTTTTCTGGTGGCATCCACCACAAAATCTGCAAAGATAAATCTTTAAGAATGAGTATTTATGGCTGTGAGGTGTAAGGCTTACCGCTGTTCAAATTGAACAAGTAACTGCACTTGGTCTTGTCGTAAACCTTGCCTCTTCTATCGGCTTCTTCCTGAGAAATGGTCTCTCCGCAGTACTCGGAGATAAAGTCGTTTTTCTGGGCGCCATCTTTTAGAAAAATGCCCCAACCAGCCACGTCTGAAGCCCCTAACAGCAGGTGCTTGCCTAAAAAAAACGCACACTAAGTTTTGTATCTTTTTAGTTCGTGCAGATAAATTAAATAAATGAAATATTTTTTTAAAAACAAGCAATGCACCAAAAAGAAAGAAATAAACCAAACCAATCAACCAAATCAAACCAATGTGGCCCCACAATTAAAGTCTAAGATTGTTACATCTGGGCACCTTGGTCTTGGAAAATTGTTAAACTTAACAGTAAATGCCATGAAACTTTAAACTTACGAAGTCCACGTTGAATCGAGACATTTTTGCAGGTAATCTTGTCAACTGTATACTGGTGCGCTCCACAGGGTTTGCACAGATCAGGATCACATTCTCTGACGGCTAAGTAACAAGGGCATTGCTTGGTGTTGCACTGGGTCTTACACAAGCAACCTGGAAACCGATTCTGACCTGGAAAGATGTTATTAGTAATCAGCAAAAGAAGAGAAAGGAATTGGCTACAACACGTTTTGGGACACCTTTTAGTTTTACTTACAATCAGGACTGCATAGACAGAACTTCTCGCAGAAATTGTGGCTTTCCATACAACCGCAATTTTGATCACAACCTCGCTCTGGATGATTGCAAGGGGTATAGTTGTTTAAGTGATTTTTGCCGGAGTCTTTCTTCATCTTGCGGCAATGCATTGACCAAAGGCGTTGCTTCTTCTTCTTGCGAGGAGGACTGGACACTGGCGAGATGTTCTCGGTAATCGTGTTCGGTTCGTCCTTTTGAGCAAATTCGTAAACCTGAAGACGTATTAGTAATTGTGAAAAGGTGTATTGGTTTTAGAAACTTGTTTCCGTATATTTGGATTTAAAACTGTTACAGTATCAAGACTCACCTGTTGGCAGGTTTTGGTGAGCATCATTTGTGCTATGGCGCAATAATTTTTTAAGAATAACCTGTGCAAAGTTCTGTAAAGGCTCTCATCAGATCCAGTCCATCCTTTGTTATCATCACCTTGCAGTAAGCTCAATGAACGTGTGTTTGTTGATATCAGATTGACGGAGTCATCTGAAAACATAAATCACATTTTTATGTTTGTATCGAAGAACTTCTAAATAATTGCTCATTGTTTATGTTTATCTTTTATGCGAGTGTGAAAAGTGGACAACTTTTGTATACCTTTGGAAGTCTTGTCATTGCTAGATTCCGAGCTGGTGTCGTTTCCAGAATCATTACTATTTCTTCTTGCATTTTCTGTCAAACATGTAGATCCTGATTCTTCTTCAAAAGCATGTCTCCATCTTTCATTAATTTTAAAAATTTGGGCCATTTGGTTTCCGACACTCTTTTGCTCCTTGACTTCATTCTGAAAGTAACTAGATCATTAAGTACATAATATTTGCAATAATATATTCGATTCGATAACGATTCAAATCGACGATCAACAGTAGCACTTAAAATAGTACTTGTAACTTTACTTGCCGCACGATTACAGTTAAAAATATTGATTTAGCGAGTTTACCATTGTTATAAAACTATAGAAACTTACCAGTAACATATAGCAGTCCTTTCCACACGGTTCTGAAAACATTTGCAGTTCGGGACCTTTCCTCTTCTGCAGATTTGGTCCTTGATGACTATTTTCTTGGCCTATATGAGAAAATTTTTCTAGTAAAGCTTTTTTACAGTTAGAGGATCATCTAACTTTAATAGACTACAATATACTGTTGTAAAATTATCAAATATTTCTTTTTTATGTTGTTATGACAATGATCTTGATTAAGTGGGAAAGAAGATAAATAAAACCTTACGGTGTAAAAAGCAGTCGTATAGAAGGCATCTCCGGCAAAACAAGGTGTGGAAGGAGTGCATTGTCCTGTTCCTTGGAACGGATATGGCGCTTGGTCCATCTATGTTGGCAATACATTCGGGTGGACAATTTGGGTCAGTCTTCTTTGTTAATTTTATGTACCTGGAATCAAAATATGTGCAAAATTATAAAATATTTTGTTTCTACAATCATAAGGATCGTATCTTACTTGTCCCTTATGTCATCGGCGTCGCCTTTCTCGGGAAAAACCTGTGACACGGCTTCAAACACTTTGATATGCGGAAATCGTTCCTCGTTCTTCTTAGGTCGCCCCCTCCTCCTCTTGAAAGTCATGGCATCCTTGTTTTTCGTTTTGGCGAGAATTTCCGGACGCTTCATCAAAGCATCGATCAATTCGACCATCATCGAGTCGTCGATAAGACCGGGCGTGCCTCTTCCGTGAACTTTGCCCTCGTAGTTACCAAGAAGCTCTCCGAGGAATTTCTCGTCCTGAGTCTGGATTTTGTCCCCTATGTAGGGGATGTTGGACAGCACTTTCTCGTCTTGCATCATGAAGTTGTGTTGGATGGGCGCCCAAGTGTAGTAGTTGGGCAGGGGGGCTACCGCTTGGATGGTTGTGATATGTGTATGCTGGATGTCTCCTATAAACAGACAAATAAATGTATATACTATTCATGGAAATATTACTTTTTTTAAGGGAATGAAATTTTGAGAACCACTGCTCATATATCGTTTATAATCCCTGCAAGCGCATCAGTTAATTGGTTGCCAAGTCAAATGTCAAGAAAATTATTTAGTACAAGACCGCAAAACATTTGGTTCTATCCTGTAGGTTAACTGTGACGAAATTTATTTTAAGTGTGAATTAAAATATTTCAGTGGGTTAAATACTGTGACAAAATTTAACAGTGCAATTCAAGAAATAAATTTACTTAAACTGTTGTTTTCTACAAAATGTGTTTAGTTAAGAACCTGTAAAGCTAAAATTTCAAACCCAAGCTTCGTCCACATATACACAACTCATATTTATTGTACACTAAAAGTAATTAATTCAGAACAGGAAAGTGATAGCTGAAAACACAAAAGTTAACACCACTGATATAACTTTTAAAATAAAAATCATAGATCCCTTGATTTTATTTGTAGTAGCTCTGATGATTCTGTAGTTTTTTAAATTGATGCTCTTCTGAAAGAGGATAATCATCATCCTGCAAATACAGTCGCTTTTTTAATCCATCAAAAATCACGTTTTTTCGCTTGTAAATACCCATAATTTAAATTACACAAAGTGCAATTTTAATTTGTTTAACTGAGAATGATCTGTCTTCAAATCCTAAAAGATTTTGGTCTCACATTAATTCAAGATCTAGTTCTACACCAGATTTATCCTGTATGACTCACAATGATATACAGATTAATCCTTCTGATATTGTCAGTGCTTTTGTAAATTCTTTTTCCGCATCGCTTTTACTTTGTCACAGTCAAAACTATACCCAGTTTGTTGAAACTGGATTTGTTTGGTATTATTCGTTCTAATATCTTGGTTGAAGTCTTATTTCAGTAAACAAAATACCAGTTTGTACAGTATCGTGGCTTTCAATCAGTTAAATTTCATCAATCTCCAGGGGTTCCCCAAGGGTCAATTCTGGGGCCACTTCTGTTCGTTGTTCTTATTAATGACCTAACTGAACGCCTTGATATCAATTACTTATTCTATGCGGAAGACCTAAAGTTGCTTTTGGAAGTTAAATCATCTATTGATTGCACTGGATTACAAGATAGGCTTGATATTAGATACCTGTAAATGTAAGCAAATCTTACAGTTGACACAAAACCACCCTAGACCCTTATAATAGAATTGGTGATTATTTTTTAAAGAGAGTTACGTGGTTTACTGACCTTGGTGTTACATTTGATACTAAACTATCATTTGACGAACATATTTTTTTAACAACAAAGTCGATTTTTAAAAATTGTGGGTTTAATTTTGCGTTATTCCAAAGACTAGCAGAACGTATAGACATATTATATGCAGTATTTGTGAGCTGCAACCTATAATATGATTGTTTGGAGTCGCATTTAAAACGCTACAAAGATATCTAGTCTAGATATTATATATTTCATTGGTTATGAAGCTTTCCTTGTGGTACATCCCAAGAATTATTGCGTTCTTGAAACATTTTGGTTGTTGTAACCTTACCTTTAATGTCTACAACTGAAGCTTTCTTCCCAGTTACCAAAGGCTTTGGGGGATTTTTCTGGACCGACCAAACGATTTTGCTGCTTCTGTTTTTCTCTCTTTCTATGATCATTTCTTCCACTCTTTTTTGGTTTTTGTCCCAAACTGATTTGACCTTATCTTCCTGTTTGACTTTTTTTACCCTCTTCAGATGGAAGTATTCCTTTCTTACCAGTTTCTGCAACTCTGCTGATTCTTTAGCGGAAGCCATGACTACTTTTGAATTCAGTAAGAAAAAAATTGTAAGTGTACCTGTTAGATAAAGAAAAAACGCCAAAAGTAAGATAAGGAACCTCTATTAATTTCATTTTTTTGTTAACAATCGATTGTTTACCAAAAACACGCTAAAATATTTCGAATTGTTAGATTTTTTTGCCAAACTGCTGCTGATATAAAAAAAAACGAGTTAGTTGTTAATATTTTGAACCTTTTGTAGAAATGACTAAGTAAAACTAAATGCAAAATTTATCAAAAAGTTGTAGAATATCTTTGCCAATCGAGAAATTTTTAATTTTTTAACATCAGTTCTGATTTCATTAAAANCGCCTAGTCTAAAAGACCATTGTAATCTATAAAGTTATGTTTTGGTCTTCTGTCGACTGGACTATAATCCAAATTCAAAAACATTCTTAAAATACAAAAGAGTGTCAGTCTGTTCATATCTCCTGCTTATTTTATGACCTGGTACTTTACTGCTAGACTATTCCACACGGGTAACGAAATATAACGAAGACTGACGGTCGTCCACCGGTTTGCTTGGACGTTGACAAATTTTTCAAAACATTGCCTAGAAGTCGCGGTCAGAATATACAACGACAGAGAGAGAAAGATACAGCTACGTCGATATTTTACAAGTGGTTTACTAATCTAACTCACTTTTATCGAGTTTGTTTAAAGGTTTGTTGCATTTTGCAAGGTATTTTGTATTTTGTACATCCAAAGTCTTTTTTAGTATCAATTATTGTCGGTATTTTCTTACAGAGGTTTGATGGTCCTGCGATGGCTGACACCAAAGTTAGGAAGAAAATGTATAATCACAAACAGATAAAGCGAGGTGAAGCGAAAAACAACAGTTTATGGCCTGAGGCGATTTTTGGAGTTGATAACTACGTAACAGAAATATTTCCAAGACCATCTTTCGCAGCCAACTACAGCAAAGTACCGGACATTGCTGCTGAAATATATAAGTGTTTAAGATCGGATGAAAAACGGCTAGATAAAGTAATAGCTCGTGAGGAATTGAGTTACTATGCCACCGCTATGTTGTGGCTTAGATTACTTGAAGTCGAAGCAAAACAAGGGGATGTCGCCTTGACAATTGCAGAAGAAGACATACGCACAGCAACCTCTAACGATGAATTCAATATACCACGACCTCTTTACGCGTATCTTCTCGAAATAGGTGTTTATACGGATAATATGGGCACAGAGACAAGACTGGAGGTTCCCGCACTACCCACCAATATTGTGCAAAACTTCGGTGGATACCACGCGGCGAGTGTTAACGTCGACACGCACAACCTCTTCGAAGAAGTACCGTCTTTGGGGATAGCTGGGGATATGGTGATGGCTTTGGTCTCGGTCGATGCTGAGGCAATTCCAAACTTACACATCGTTGCACCAGAAGGAACTGTCTTCACGGACAACTTGGTCGGAAGATTCAGCCCAATAGGACCGGGAACGTTAGAAATTAGACAGAGGTTGTTTGGGTATGGTATAACATCTGATTCATTGCAGGAATATGTACCAGCAACTCGCTTCAATCTCAGATATGTCCGTTCACTTTCTGACATACTCGAGAGGTTCGAAACTTTCGAAACAGAAAAGGTACGTTTCAGGGACCTAACTATGTCAGGTGGAAAGACGCAAGCAATCATGACGCGTCCATCTGAAAGGAATGAACATGATAATTGGCGTGTCCGCACGGTAAGTGCTACATCAGCGGACAACAGCTCAAACGCCGATATGGGTGCAGCATACTGTTTTGGATTCCAACTGTTCAAAGAACCCGGTCAAGGAGATACTGTTACCCATCAGGCCTTGAATTGGAGTTGTGTAGCTCCAGTGCCAAATAGTCCATGGGTAATGCCAGACATGTGGAATAATAACCGCAACGACAGGAGAAAGCTTCCTCCCGGATTACGCCCTGAAAGGTTCATAGGAAATTCGTTGCGGCAAGATTTGAAGTTGTCTGATGCAGTTAGACGCAGCGAGGTATGAATGAACTGGAATTAAAAGCAGAGTATTAATAGATTTAGGAGAATTAGAGAAAGTACAACGGAGATATTGAAAGACTATTCAACTTAATAGTTACTGAATTTATCTTATACACCTCAAGAATTGTTGCTTTCTCGTTTTAAATTTAATAGCTCTGTCGTAGGCGAATCATGTTTTCAATTATATCCTTTTTTAAATGTTAGTTGATACTTTAATTAGATTCAAAGACTTTATATCGTGTTCATAGGTAGACTTTATTCTAGATTTTACTACGCTTTAGAATTTTATTACCCTTGTATATGTTATTTAGCTTATTTGTTTCATTTGTCTGTTTAAGTTCCTTTACGTATACAAGGTGTCCCACCACGAACTCCATCGATGGATATCTGGGAAACCGCTCGAAGAATTTTTTTGAAATTGTGATGGTGTGATACGGATCGTAGGACCTACCAAACTAAAATATTTTCAAGGTCATCGTACTTCCGGTTATACCGGAAGTCGATACTAACTTTCTTATTTTAAATGGACCCCCCTGTATATTATTGCATTTTTGGAAAGAGCATCTAATTTTAAGTTGAAAACATATAGCACAGTCCATACTTAGGAATGACCGTTTCCGAGATATTTTGATTTTTAAGCAAACATTCACAGATGCAGACTGTCAGCAAAATTTAGTTTTCCCGGAAACATAGGTTGATTTTTTTTTGTGCAAATTGGACATTTTGTAGAGGAAGACTTTGACATGAAAATTTTCCAGTTTTTATACAGGGTGGTCAAAAAAAATATCGAATATGAAGTTCAGAATATGTGGAAAACTCGAATTTTTTAAATGGACCCCTAATTTTTTTAACGCATTCACATTCTACACTACAATTAAGTGTAATTTTGTTGAAATTTTCCTATACCTATACGTAAACCCAGTGGTTTTCATTTTATTTACGAATAAACATTTCCCTTTTCTTAAAATGATGTTTCCATCTGCGTCTGTCAATTTTTGCTTAAAAATAAGAATATCTCGAAAACGGTCAATCCTAAGTATGGAGTGTGCTATATGTTTTCAACTTAAAATTATATACTCTTTCCAGAAATGCAATAATATACAGGGGGTTCTATTTAAAATAAGAAAGTTAGTATCGACTTCCGGTATAACTTCAAAAAAATCCTTCTAGCGATTTCCCAGATATCCATCGATGGAGTTCGTGGTGGGACCACCGTGTTTATTATATTTTGATTGCTCTATCCTGAAGTACTTAGGCCCTTATACTTCATGTCAGTTGTTTCTTTTTTTGATTTAGTTAAGTTTTTCTATTTTACCTAATTCTGTAATTGAGACTTTGTCCTGCTGGGCATTGTATTTTTAAATAAATAAATAAATAAATACTTTCGTACTGAATTGTATTTCAAGAATTTATTTCTGTTTAGCTTGGTATTAAAAGGAACGTTTTCAACTGATACAGGAAATTAGACTTACATTAGATGTATCGTGTCTCCAATTAAAATACTTATTTTAAAGATAATTGCAATATATAGGGCGTCCCAATATTCCCTGTAAATGGAGCACCATAGCTTTCTGCGATTAAAATAAGCAGATTTATCTAATCTGACCTCTATCCTAAGTTGTTGCGTTTCGCCGATAGTTTCCGGGCGAATTAGGTTTTTTTTTTCAAACATGGGGCCTACCTCGAATTTTATAGGCTTAAAATTAAGTAAAACTACACAGAATAAAAGCTCAAATTTGTGTATTTGTAGAGATAATGTAATTACCTTTCGATCCGTAGTAGGTACTTACATACGTTATTCTGAAAGACGCCGTAGGAAAACTTGAAAGATAAATTAGTAAATATATGGACATAGGACATAGGGAAATACAGGGTGTTAAAAAAAGAGTGTAAAATATTTCAGGAGGTAATAGTATGAACCAAAATAAGCAGAAAAGTCTCGATAAACATTGGTCCGCAAAGTAACGGTTGCGGAGATATGGACCACTATTCGTTTTTCAAACATTTTATTTTATAAGGAATAAACCGACAAAGGAAGCTTTTAACAAACAAAAAACAAAGTTACAGAAGATGTTCAAAGTGCCCTCCGTCCATTTCCAAGCAGACACGACATCTTCGTCTCAACGATATTCGAACTCTTTCGAAAACACCCTCCTTGGTTTGGATTTCTTGACACTTTTGATTAATCCGTAGCTGCAGCTCTTCCAGGCTATTTACAGGAGTACCATACACTAATGTCTTCAAATATCCCCAAACAAAGAAATCTAGAGGGTTCAGATCAGGNCGCTTTTTTAATCCATCAAAAATCACGTTTTTTCGCTTGTAAATACCCATAATTTAAATTACACAAAGTGCAATTTTAATTTGTTTAACTGAGAATGATCTGTCTTCAAATCCTAAAAGATTTTGGTCTCACATGAATTCAAGATCTAGTTCTACACCAGATTTATCCTGTATGACTCACAATGATATACAGATTAATCCTTCTGATATTGTCAGTGCTTTTGTAAATTCTTTTTCCGCATCGCTTTTACTTTGTCACAGTCAAAACTATACCCAGTTTGTTGAAACTGGATTTGTTTGGTATTATTCGTTCTAATATCTTGGTTGAAGTCTTATTTCAGTAAACAAAATACCAGTTTGTACAGTATCGTGGCTTTCAATCAGTTAAATTTCATCAATCTCCAGGGGTTCCCCAAGGGTCAATTCTGGGGCCACTTCTGTTCGTTGTTCTTATTAATGACCTAACTGAACGCCTTGATATCAATTACTTATTCTATGCGGAAGACCTAAAGTTGCTTTTGGAAGTTAAATCATCTATTGATTGCACTGGATTACAAGATAGGCTTGATATTAGATACCTGTAAATGTAAGCAAATCTTACAGTTGACACAAAACCACCCTAGACCCTTATAATAGAATTGGTGATTATTTTTTAAAGAGAGTTACGTGGTTTACTGACCTTGGTGTTACATTTGATACTAAACTATCATTT